AACTATCATCAACCCTCCCGCCAATGCTCTTTCTTTGGATGGTAACCTTCTACCCTTCCTCCCATGTCTAATTGTTTGCTCTTTAATTTTTTATATTTTTTTTTTTTTTTTTTTTTTTGCTTGTTTGCGTTGTTTTATGAGTATTCGAATACTCTTTGTACTCCAACCTCCAACAGGCATTATCAAATTTGTTTATGAATTGTTGAGATGTATTCATTTTTAAAGAATAAGAAAATTATTATTAAAACTAAATAATAATGTAAAATATATTAAAAATATGGTATGAGTATTTAATAATTAATTTATAAATGTTTTAAAATTTTTAAGAGATTTTTTTTAATAGTTTGTGATAAAATTTTATAAAATTAAAATTATTTTACTAAATTTAATTTATTTGATTTAAAATGTAATTAATTTTAAAATTAAATTTTAAAAAATTCACATAAATATAAAGTAAAAAACTAACTACTACAAATTAAAATAACCTCAAATAAAATAAAGACAAAAAAAAATCAATACAAATAAAAAAAGATACTCATACAAGTTAAGTAAAATGCATTTATAAGATAGATAAAAATTTTACAAAAATACACTAATTATCATTGCTTAATTTAAAATTTTTACTTACCAAAATATCTTTAAAGATTAAAGTATTTAATTACAAAATTACTACGAAGTCAAACACTTTTAAAGAGACAAAAAAAATAAGAGAGATAAAGGAAGAAGACACACTTAACTCTACCATCCTTATACTACTCAAAATAATAAATTTTCATTCATCAAAAGTATAAAAAAATGGACTAGATATTCTTTTGTTAATCCATAAAAATAAGATAAAAATAAAAACTTACTACACTCGACAAGGTAATAATGAAATGGGGTAGAATTTAATCAATTTATCATTTATTTTCTTTTAGATTAAAGAAGCAAGCAATATACATTATTCTTTTTTTGGTACGAGCAATATACATTATTACTAAAAGGGATTTTTGCCTAATTGAATTGCAAAATTTCAATTCGATTTGAAAAAAAAAAGTAAAAATATTTATAAAATTAATTAAACTTTTTTAATGTATCAACACATAAAGCGAATTCATTAAATATATTAAAAATAATTTTACAAATGTTTTTATAGTTTTTTCTTAAATGTCAACATGAACACATTTACTTTTCTAATTTGCCATGTTGTTGGACCAATCTCACTGGCAAGTTCCAATGACGCATCCCACGCATTTGTGTGGCTTTTCTGTTTGCTTTGCAATTAGAGGTGAGTATTGGATGTGGGTACATTTATTACTTATAAGTATTTTATTTATTTAGGTAAATATTAGGGTAGTACTATAGAAACAATCTTTTTATACCACAATTTGATATAACTTTTATATGGTATTAAGTGAGTCGATATATTCAATATTATGAGTTCTATATGAATTAAAAGAACTAATATCATTTAAATGATATGTCAAGTTGTATAAAAAAATAATACAAAAAGGTTGTTCCAAAATGATTTCTGTAAGTATTATACTTAAATTATAAAAAATTAGATGAATAATAGGTATAAAAATAATATACTTATAAGTATTAAATCAAGTAATAAATATAAAAGTTTAAAATTATTTATCTAACTTATTTAATTGATTCATTACTTGTATAATTGAAATTTTATGTTTAATATATATTTAATAACAATAATTTTTAAAAATAAAAAAAATAAAATAAAAAAGTAAAAATAGAAGTATAGTAAGGTTTGGAAGCTAAAAAAATTACACACGCAACATTAACAACTTATATAAATAACAAACACTAAGCCAAAAACATGACACACATAAATTTGTATAAATAACAAACCCTCAATTAAACATATAACATATGCAATAATAATAACTCGTATAAGACTTTTTATGTTCTTAAACTAAGAGTATAAGTATATAATTGTAAATTACTTGATACGTATTAGATTAGGGACCAAGCATAGATTTTTAAGTATTTAGATAAATATTAAATTTAAAAAATTATATTTAAAAATTTTTAAATTAAGTATCAAATATATCTCATATCTAACTAATATGAAAAAAAAAAAAAAAAAGGTTCACCCCTA